GACAGGAGGGAGGGAGGGTGAGCGGGTAGGCTGCAGCCAGTTCAGATGCTATTTTTATAAACTAGAATTGCTTAGGTTTGAAATGCTGGATTTTCGGATTCTTTCTGGCTTAGATCCTAAGTGAAACAGAACTTCATACTCTAAAATTGTTTAATGCAATAAAGGGAAGAATACATTTACAGAGAACCTACTATGTGACAACCAACATGCTATGAAATTTAGATACCGAATCAAAGTTAGCTAGGTAAGATTTGTATTCCTCTCTTTACAAAGGAGAAAAAGGAAGCTAAGGCAAATTAAAAGTGAGGCTTTGAACGACCTGCATGGTTGCTAAGGCCTTATTCATGATGTTATCACCACGCAGGTCCTTCCTTAGCACATGATGGCTCATTCCTAGCACAGCCCTAGAAGGAAGAAAGATGCTTGGGAAAGTCACACAATCAGCTTTATTTAATGTCTTCAAACGCTGTTGTGCTTGCTTGTAATACAAGGTGTTCTCCAGACACCTAGAGTCAGTGGCTTTGGGGTAGACCTACAGCTCTAAGGCCTACCTCAGGAGGTTCTTACTGCATGCACTTTATCAGTGACAATCTGTATGCCACGTCCTGGGTTTGATATGATCCTACATTGCTCCACAGTAACATAGTTCCTGAGGAAGCTCTTAGAATATCATTTCTCTAAAAGTTCTGATTTAGGATCAAAATCCTTTGCTTTACTTTCATCCATCGTATTTCCAGGCATAGATTTAAAAGTTAACAAACCTTGAGAAGTATTAAGTCTCACAACTAACAATGTTTTCATTTTTGTAACCCCAAATAAGTCGTCGCTTCTCCATTTTCCAGATCTTTTACCCTCAAGCTTACAATTCTAAGAATTCAACATGAGAACTTTTTCTCAACCTCTTGATTTTTTTTTCCTTCCACCTCAACTGTCAGATTTTCCCAGTGTGTCTGGTGAAAAGCAGTAAAAGAAAGTGAGTTTTGAAAGTAGGGTGAGGTCTTTTGTATAAATTTTGCAAGTCTGAGTTTTCAGTTAAATTTGCTAAGTTTTTTGTACCAAAACAACAGAAACAATAAACATTTGCCAACTTTCCTTATACCAATCGAAGAAACTATTTTGTGTCTGTCACATACAACATAAAAAGCTTATTAATGATTATGATCAATACAATAACTTTTGGGAGGCTAGGATCAAGTGAGTAGCTAAAAGGTTTCTTTCTTGGCAACCAAGGTAGGGACAGGTAGGAAACCTTTAGAAATTCCTGTTATTGGCTAGAAATAGTCTCCTTAAAATTGATCTTATTTCTTACATTCTAAGAAAAAATTAGGAATATGTATCACCTGTTATCCAGGAGGTGTATCTTCTTTAAACAGACAAAACTTGGTTAAAATGAAATTCAAGAACTGGTAATGTCTTAAAAGAACTGGGCTGGTTCTGAGAGTGTGTCCAAACCCAGGGATGGTGGTGGCTGACATAAGACCATTTCCATAACTAATTGGCTAAGCCCAGAGAAAATGCTCATCCACATAGTAGTGGTCCACTGGTCACTGCCAGGCTTTTTGGCCCTTCATTACTACAGAGATGCTACATTGAAACTTCAACAGAAAAATCACGGTTGATGATGCGGGTCAACAACTCCCTCCTTTCAGACTTTTAAGCAGTCACCTACCTCCTTTGACATTACACGCCAAGCAAGCGATACAGTGATTGCCACAAATGTGATGTAACACAAGGAATACTGGTCTCTCTTTCTGCCTTTATTGATACTCCCTGACCCCCTCTCAGATTAATGAAGACGACTGGGCCTAGTTATGCAGAAATAAGAGTGAAAAGCTGAAATGAATTTGTAAGATTTCTTTGCAGGTTGGTTCCTTATTTTCAGAACTTGTCTGCTATCCCACTTAGTACCTACTTCCTAACTACTGAAATGTAAGTATTTAGGACCTTAAAATAACATCTGGTCAGCTGTAAATGAACTATTACATCTCCTTTCCCCCTCCCCCAATACACACATAAGAACAGAATGAACATACAGAGATAGGATGCTATAATGCTGGCATCGTCCTAAAAATGAGCACGTGCATGCTGTTCTCCAAGACCTCTGAGAAAGGACATTCACAATTTCTCTCTGGCCCCTGCACCTCGGGTCTCGCTGTCCTTCAGAGCAGGAAACCCCCTCTCTCTTCTGTGAGACCATTTTGGGAAACTATCTCTTTTTCAGATGTCTGAAACCAAAAATATCTTTCTTCTAACTTTCAAGTCTTTCCTACTGGAAATCATTTAAAAAGCCAAAGAAATGGAGGAGGAAGTGAACATTCTGAATATCCGGTAACTTATTTCCTAAGCAAAAATGCAATTTCTCCCAACCAAGAGTATCCATCTAGCTTACATTCTGCTTTAAATCTATTAAGCACATACATGGAGTAAGATTGGAGGAGGGACCATGTCAAATAGGCTTTGAATTTCTGGCAAATGGCTCACTGTGTATTTCATTTCAAAGGCCTAATTATGTCTGCATAAATAAACTGTGCTACGCAGCTTGATGCATGGCCATTTGTCATATTAAAACAATGGCATCCAAAATAAATCCCCATTAACATTGTTTAACTTTAATGCTTTGGGGTGTTTGCTACTCAAATGATTAAAAAATGGAGTGATTTATGATACCACAATTTAAATGAGGCACCAAAACAAATAGACTGTGACTCACTAAGACCTAAAATACACTACAAGCCCAGCTGGATTAGCAGTGCAAGACACCCACAGCTGACGAGTCCGTGTGTGTGTGTGTGTGTGTGTGTGTTTATAAGGATTGAGTAAGGTACTGGGAGAGTTTTCAGAAAAAAAATGCAATGCAAAGTTTTAAAGAAATGTTTTATAAGTTGCTCACTCAGTCTCCGGAGAAATACTTGTAAATGATGAGGTTCTGGCATCAAACCATTGGTGTAGACAAAATAGGAATGAAGAAAAAATAAAAAATTTTCATAGATCTGGATGGAAAAGCATTGATCTTTTTCCCCCTTTGTTTTACTTTTCTCTTTTAGAAAACTGTAGGTAGAATATCTTTATTTTATATGAAGAAAAAATACAGAGCTTACTAGTAAAGACATATCCTTTCAGAGGTCATGGCTCAGTCTTCAAAAGTAAAACATGTTGCATAGGCCAGGAAATTAATAAATGGCAGAGTTGTCTAACTCTCCAGACTTCCCTGGTCTTAACCATAAATTTTCCGGATGCAGCAATGTCTTGGTTTTTACTGCTGTCAAGCTTGTCCACTTTCCTCCTGAGTAGAGCCGTTTCAATCCCTGATCTCTGTCCCACCTAAATCAGGGCAGTGCGATTGCCAAAAACAGCAAAGTCTCTGAATTAGACACTGTATCTGTGAAAGACCCAAATCATTGCATTGAATGCCAGCTCTAAGTTGGGCTTTTGTCTTCAAAAGCAGATTTGGATACATGCATCTACCAAAGGAGTAATAACATTTTTGCCTTAGCCCTTGAGAAGCAAACTTCCTGTAAATACTTCCATAAAAATACTTGGAGGTCTTTTGAAACAAAGCACCATATGAAGTGTGTCTAAACAGCACAAAAGTAAACTGAAATTTGGCAACATTCATTCTAATAATGTGAATGGCTAAAGTGGACCATTTAAGATAAAAATCATTTCTTTCCATTTCAGTCGGAATTATCCTGCTGACCATCTACACTGAAATAACAAGATCAGCTCTTCCTGTTGTGCTGCATAAACAGTCACAAACGCAAAGAATTTTGGTGTGTTTGTGCAGGGTAACTGCAGCGTGAAACAGAGACGCACAACCCAACAGGCCTTCAACATAAAAGGAGCTGCTGCCCAACCAGGAGGGTCATCCAAGGCGGCCCGCCCAGGCCAGGTCAAACTTTGCCAGGGATCCCTTCTTCCCTGACCTTGCTCATTCCACTCTGGTGAGTTTTGCTTAATGGCTGTAATCCACTCCAAACCATGAATTTCTCCAGTTTTTTTTTTCAAAATATTCAAATATCCTAGCTCTCCCTTTCCCCACCCAAACCTCAGCTGTCTCTCCCTTTCTTCTCCATGTTATTTCTTTTTCAGTTACCCTGTAACGAGAACTCATCTGAGACAAGAAACTAGACTAAAGGCAGCCAGAAAGCCAGATAAGAAATCAAGGGGCATATATTAGGGTCTGCATCAAATGGGCCTAAAGTTTCAAGCTTTATTAGAGTGGTAATAAAGCTTGCATGGGAGGAGAAAGCGAACACATGCCTACTGCAGCATCAGTATAAATATGGGAAGAGAATGAAGCACAATAAAGATGAAAATAATATACCCAATTGTAAAATATTTTTCCTGCAAACTTGGACCCCAAGGATCTTAAAAATAATTGGCAAAGTGTATTTATTTTGGATTCATTTTGCTTACCCATGAAATACAACCACCTATAGAACCTGGACATTTCATTATCTCTGCTAAAAATACAATATCCAAAATGCTCAAATTAGATGAAAAAAAAATTCAGTACCAGCTACATGTTCCCATCATCCTTGTTCCCTGTAACAGGGGCTGAGAGCTTCTGAACTGACCACACAGGTGGCTTCCCAGACCTACAAAGCATGTTTTCCTAAAATTGAGTCAAAAGGCCCAAATCATGAATCATTAGGTGTAATGTGCCTCAGAATGCATAACTGGGGTTCTACATTAAAAGCCACTAATATGAAAAAGAGATGGATGCATAAATGGTTTATAATAGAAAAGTCCACAGCATAGATAAGGGATCAGGGAAACTCTCATCCACTCAGAGTAATGTAAACTGATACAACTCTTCTAAAGGCAAATTAGGCAAAATAAAAGCCATATAAACATTTCAACTCAGAAATACAAAAATTAAACCAGGAAAACAGTAATAGATGTACAAAAAAAAAGCTATAGGGATTCTAATAGAGTATTATCCATACCAGGAAACAATTTTTTTTTTATTGTATGATTTTTAGAAAGGGAAAGAGAGAAAAACACTGACTTGCTGTTCCACTTATTTATGCATTCATTGGTTATTTCTTGTATGTACCCTAACTGGGGGGTCAACCTGACAACCTTGGGCTATCAGGATGATGCTCTAACCAACTGAGCTACCCACATTAAATTGGGGGACAATTTAAACAAGATAAATACCAAAATTAGAGCATACCCATATGCTGAAATACTAGGCAGTCACTAAACTTATAGTAAAGAATATTTAGTCATTACAAAAATGTTCATAGGATTTTAGAGTTTGTCTATTAAAAAGTTTACTACCATATGAAAAGACTAGAATGAAGTACAATGAAAATACTAACAGTAAATACTTCTAAGCAGAGAGATCATAGATGATTTCTTCCTACTTCCCTACATATTCTGTATTAGTGGGGTTTTTTTAAATATATTTTTATTGCTTTTAGAGAGGAAGGGAGAGGGGGAGAGAGATAGAAACATCAATGATGCGAGAGAATTATTGATTGGCTGCCTCCTGCACACCCCCTACTGGGGATTGAGCCCACAACCCAGGCATGGGCCCCTGACCAGAATGGAACCTGGGACCCTTCAGTCCACAGGCAGAAGCTCTATCCACTGAGCCAAACCAGCTAGGGCCATGTTCTCAGTTTAAACACATTTTTTGGCCAAGAAAAGATAACTACAGATATGATACAAATAGAGTAGTTTTAATATAAAGTTCTCAATAGAAAGCAGTGAAAACACCCCTAACAAGGAATAACCACTGGGATGAAAATGAGTGATTGTAGGAAAAGTCATATATCATCTCAATCATCATCCATACAAGAAGTGAGTCCCATTTTGAGGAAATCCAATAAATAAAGGATTCACATTTGTAAAATAAACTAGAGAACAGCTTACTCCTCTGCTAAAAACCTCATTCCAAATGTGTCTTAAGTATTCTCTTTTGTACAGAGGGTCTCAAAGCTGTCTGTCCATCAGAATCAGCAATAGCGCTTTTATTAAATGCAGACCATGAGACTACATCGCTGATGGTACTGATTCGGTAGGTTAGAGGAGAGACTCAAGAATTCTTATTAAAAAAAAAATCCTTCCTAACTATTGAACTCTTATAGATTAAAAAAGACCTAAGAGGTATTTCAACAAAATGCAATGTAAAAATCTTGTTTCAACTGTTATTCAAACAAATCAATTCTTAAAAGATAGGGGAGGAGGGAAGGTAAGGGGCTATGAAAGGAGATGATACTACTATTGTTAATACTACTGGATATGATGACAGTATTGTGGTTATGTGCTATTTTTTATCTGTATCTTTTATTTTTTTAATGTTTTTATTGATTTTTTAGAAAGAGAGGAAGAAGAGAGATAGAGAGATGGAAACATTGATGAGAGAGAAACATCTATTGGCTGCCTCCTGCATACCCCCTACTGGGGATCAAGCCTGCACTGGGGTATGTGACTTGACTGGGAATCCAACCAGTGATTTCTCGGTTCTTGGGTCCACACTCAATCACTGAGCCACACTGACCAGGCTTACCTGTATCTTTTAATCTAAAGTTTCTGCAAATTAAATGTTATAGTATCAGGGAATTACTTAAAATAGTCCAACAAAAAAAAAATATACAAAATGAAATTAAAACAAAGCCAAAATAATAAATTTAAAAAAGGCAGGAAAGAACAGAGGAAACAGAATGAAAAGAAAAATTATTCGAGATACACGCTGGATACAAGAGGATTTAATATACTATATCTACTTATTTTACTCTACTGCTTATATTTTAAATTCTATAAAATGTTAGAGGGGAAAAAAGTATCCCAGTGGTTTGGAAACCCCTGCCCTAGTGGTTTAAAGATATTTGGTTTGTAAAACTGGACCAGAAAAGTAAGTTTTCAGAACCCTCTCTCCTATATAAAGTAAGGAATTTTTCATTTTTAGAATTATCATTTTCAAAACATTAGTGAGTTACTGTTTATAAACAGCAACTCACAGATCCTTAAAACAGCCCTGTTAAGCCCAAAAGTTTAAAAAAGGAAGGGGGAACCCATATTCAATAAATACCTACTATTTATCATATATTACCTTACCCATTACCATAACCCCATAGGAGAGAAATAATTTCCAATATATAGAAGTCAAAATTATAATGGAAAACTATAAATATCATAGATGCTAAATTTAGTCTAACAATAAGGAAACAAACAGTTAAGCAAATTATGACTCATTCATTTGGTGGACAATATATTGAATAGAATGATTACAAAAATATTAATGATATTAGGACATGTTTAAGTAACAATTTTAAGTAAAAAAATTTTTTCAGCATAATACACACAAATATACATATATAATTTTTTTTAGAAAAAATACATTTAAAATTTTAGAGTTTGTACACACAAATATACATATATAATTTTTTTTTTTAGAAAAAATACATTTAAAATTTTAGAGTTTGTCTCCAGGTAGTGGGCTATGAAATTTTTAAATTTTGTTCTGTATTTTCTGAATTTTTGGTAATAAACACCAATTACCTATTCAGTAAGGAAAAAACACACACAATTTAACAGAGAAACCCAGCATTGCACAGCTAGTTAGCTACTCCCCACAGACCGAGACTGTGGCCTCCCGACTCTCTACATGTATGACACTGCCTCCAGATCATGGAGCAACAGCACATCATGGTCACATCACATCCATTCTGCAAACAAGCACAGAACATCGGGCACCCATGTCAAGACAACACTTCTCAGACATAACACATTCCAGCATCAAAACGGTACTTAGAATAGTTTTAAATAATGCACATTTGTTTCTATTTAGAATTTTCCATTTTCATCTTCTCAAAACATTTATCCACCTCGAAGACTTTCTAAGAGCCACTTTAAATCTCTTTTTGGAGCAAGGTGATCTGAAAATAAATAAACCAACCCCTTTTTAAAATGGAAGATACTCAAAACTCACCAATAACTCTTTATAAGATATCTAATGTGTACTAGTATTGTAGAAGAAATAGTGAGGGAGAAAACCTTTAAAATTGTTTAACTCAACTTAAAATTTTCAAATTAAATAAATTTTGATATATGAAATAAAATTCTTAAACCTTGTAGAGAGCTCTGGGATAAAACTGAGCTGACTTAACTTGGTAGTGTAACCGTATAGATATACATTAATTTAAATGTCTTAACTTGCTCCCTTGAATTCCTTTCTGTTGCTTAATTTCCAAACAAGAGATAGTAATGCTGGTCTTAAATGGATGAATCATCAGGGCAGGGTCTGACACCGCTGACAATGTAGTTCTAAAAACAGAAACTATAGATTGTCAGAGAAGGAAGTTTAGAAATATCAGCTGAGGGTCTGAAGCATGTCTTGGGAGGCCACCCAAGGACTCCAGCTTTCCTTGGAGTCCCCCAGCCCCAAGCTCTAATCTGCAGCCCAGGAACAGATGCATTCCTCCAATTCCAAGAGGGGGCAGGGCCAGGCATCACCCCAGAAGCTGTGGTCACTGCAGCAGGAGGAGTGATGTTGCAGCTGAGGAAGCAGCCGGTGGCCCTGAGGGTGGCAGGCCTGGAACCCGCACGTGCTCGGTGCACCGGAGCTCCAGCTGCCCCAGCTGCTCTCAGTGCCTCTCCCCTCGTAGCTCCCTCTCCCTCTTCTCATATACACACTCATCCTTTTGTCCAGGTCTCCACTTCCAACCTTTATCATCCATTTTGTTCTCATTCCTTCCTTTTTTTAAAATCTCTCATCTTGTTCTTCCCTACACTAATCTGGACGCACTTTAAACTTTGCATTCCTTAGTGTTCTTGTTAGGTGGAAGGTTCGTTTAGGTTTTAGGTTATTTTCTCTCTCCCATGTCTTAATGTGTAGGAGATAGCAGTTAATGCTACCCACTACATGTCAGCCACTCAGTACGCTATCCAAACTGTTCTGGAAGTGACATATAAACACCCTCACTCCATCTTTCAATTCTGTGCTCCTATACAACTGGGATTTCTAGATTTCTGTTTGTTTTTTTCTGTTGTACTTGCACAGCTCTGTATTGTTTGTTGAAAGACTACATAAGGGCAGAGACAATTAGATCCCCAACTCCTAACAGAACGCAATCATCTATCACAAAGCATAAGATACTCCTCTTTGTTTCAACAGAAGATCATACAACTGTGTGTGGCCCTACCACAGTCACCATCAGAAAAGTAAAGTTTCTAACACAGAGAAGTGTTATCTACCTTAGAGAGGTTCCCATTCCCCTTTCGAGCATTATTCCGTTCCCACCTGTCCCCTCCTCCTCCTTTGTCCATCTAATTAGATGTTACTTGGAGTTACAGACCAAATCTAAGACCTTACAACATTGGAGTGCCCTCCCAGTGCTGTGCACCCCCACTGACAGCTCACGTGGAAGACGAGCTGTGCTTTAGTCACTGACATTCTCTGGGAGCCGGGATGCCTCCAGCTTTATCAGAATCTTTACCAGCCTGAATGAAGGCCGATCTCAGACGGCAGTGAAACTTCCATTACCTCTAGTTATACCAGTTGACATATCATCTGCTGAATCAAACCCATGTCCTCTTCATCTGCCACCAGCCCTCCTCAAGTCACCCTCCTAGCAATTATGTCGTGGTTTCCTCTTTGCACTTCAACTCTCAACTCTCCAATCAGTTTTCAAGAAGCTCATCAACGTGCCTTCCTGGTTTTTCAGCCTCCTTTCTTACTACCACCCCACTGAGAGGGACCCACAAACCAAGCCGGCCTTTTAAACAAAAACGACTTTCTTGCTCCTCCTCTGGGCCTTTGCATGGCTATTCTTCCCACCTTAAATTCCAGCTCTCCTCCTGGTTACTATTCCACGTGCTCTCATCCTTGAAAAACTTGAGTTTAAACCTGCCTGGAGTGGCCTCAGGTGACGCTCCTCCCTGCTGCTGCTTCCTTCACGCTTCAGTTATCCCCCTGGATTGTCTCAGTCAGGTGTCTAACATACATACTCATCTTGCCTTATGTGCTTCATCTCAATCTCTTTCTCCGATAGTTGATGTCTTCCTTATATGTAGACTGTAAGCTTCTCCCAGGCACAGACTGTGTCTTTCTGACCCAACACTATCCTTCAACAACCCTGCATGTAGCACCTGGCACGTAAGAGAAACTTATCAAATCGACACTGAATGAGCGAATGAATGGCTCTCCTTAGTCCCAGGGCAAACACCTCCAGAACTGGGACTGCCTCCATCGACGCTTTACACATCTCCACAACTTCGGGTCCAGTTCTCAGTTGGACAGTCACCATGCATGCAAAGCAATGTTGCTGGGACTTCACATTCATCCCCATGCGATATGCTCCACAGTTACTTTAATAAAACTCCTTGCTCTGGCAACTTCAGCAAGATTTAAATAGCACTTCTATCATTAGAGATCTTATGTCAGCAGGGGGACGCTGAGAAAAATCCATCCCTGACTCCAGCCAAGAGGAAAGGTGACAGCACACCAAAAGGCAACCCACCTTACTTCCTACTAGTTATCTATTCCTTTCTAATGGGTCCCTAAAGTGTCCATTTTAAACTTTCCAGACACAAACTTGCTGGCATCCACAGTCAAGAGCATGAAATTTTCCACTGTGCCAGGCCCCTGAACAGAGTTTTCAGAAGTAGAAGTCGCTGCCACTCTTCTCCCTTAGCCAGGAAAAAAATGACCAAAAACAGAACAACAACAAACACACACACACACACACACACACAAATACCTCAAATGACCCACTGCAACATTGCTTTGCATGCATGGTGACTGTCCAACTGAGAACTGGACCCGAAGTTGTGGAGATGTGTAAAGCGTCGATGGAGACAGTCCCAGTTCTAGGATAGCCTCCAACCTTGGCCTTGCTGACGTTAGCCATAGTGCCTAGCAGAGATTGACTGGGTATGTTTACTGCTCTCTTCCAGTCCCACCCACCTTACCAGGAGCCCTAAGACTGTTACAGGTTGCATAACTTTAGAGTGACTTTGGACATGGCTCCCAAATTAAATGGACTGTTGCAATACTGGACATCCCAGGAGCCCTAGGGGGAAAGTCATCAGAAAGCCCAAAGCCCTTTTGGGGATCCTGAGCTCCTCTTTTGTTCATGAAAGCCAGGGGCAAACCCGACTGGCGTGGCTCAGTGGTTGAGCATCGATTATGAACCAGGAGGTCACTGTTCGATTCTCAGTCAGGGCACATGCCCGGGTTACGGGCTCAATTCCCAGGGTGGGGCGTGCAGGAGGTAGCCAATCAATGATTCTCTCTCATCATTGATGTTTCTATCTCTCTCTCCCTCTCCCTTCCTCTCTGAAATCAATTTTTTTTAAAGCCAGGGGCAAGACAAGAGTCTCACAACAGAACGCGGTAGTGGGGAAACTGGTTTGTTTGAGGTACGGAACATAGGAATTTGCCAGCTCCACAGAAGTGAAATAAATTAGGGAGAACAAGGAAATTACTGGCTGGGAGACGAAGTTATTATGAAAAGCTGATTTCACTGTCCAAAAATGTTAGCCTGCATTTATTCTCAAAATTATCCAAATATTTCAGCAATTATCTATTTATATGCTTGTTTTCTGGACATTTCCTTACTGTTGCTCTCCAGTCTTTTATAAAGTGTGAAAGTGATTTGCTTTTGAAACCATTTCCTCCCTTTCATCACAACTGCAAGGCCTAGTTTATCACCCTTCTGGATCCACAAAGATCTGCACTTGGAAAAGGGTTTCAGCTGGCCTGAAGCAAAATGTCCTGGGATAGGAAAAAAACGTTTCCTTCACTTTGCTACATAATTAAGTTTGATTTGCATATTTATGCCCTCCAATAGTCACTGTGGACAGTGGTCCAAATGTGCTTTTAAAAGATGTTTCCGCTCCCAGCTGGTGTGGCTCACTGGTTGAGCATCAACCCATGAGCCAGGAGGTCACTGGTTCGATTCCCTTCCCAGTCAGGGCACATGCCTGAGTTGCAGGCTCAATCCCCAGGAGGGGCGTGCAGGGGGCATCTGATCTATGTTTCTTTCCCATTGATATTCCTCTCTATCCCTCTCTAACAATCAATAAAAACATATTTTTAAAAAAAGATGTTTTTGTTTTCTTGGAGAATTCCAGAACTCGAATACAAGATGTGCAAAGATATGAAACAACTCTCTCAGTTGGAACCCAGTTCAATATTACCTTGGCTATGCATTGCTTGCAGACCAACTCCTCTCTGTTTTGTACATTTCAGCAAACAAAGCTCATAATAATGAGCGCATGAGTCATGCACATGGAGGTGACTTATAATTCAAATCGAATTAACTGTAAATGCAAGCAATTGGGGAAAAATTAAGGCCTTATGTTCAGTGTTGTCGCTACATTTGTTAGGGATTTCATCACTGTGTGGAGGCGTTTAGTTCCAGGCTAACATTTGGACAGATGGAAAGCTCCCTTGGAGCACACGGGTCAAAAGAGGCAGTCCCGGGCCTTCTGAGGAAGGGCAGGCAGCCTCCTGGCCCCAGCTTCCCCATCTCACTCACACCAGACCAGACCGGACAGAGCGCTCCTGCATTTCAGAGGCTGCAGCTACAAAATCAGTGCGCGGGTTGTGAAATCTCTTATAAATTAGAAAGCGATGGACAACGGTTTGCTGTTGCTCTTAGTATTATGGTAGTTAGTATAAAGTGAGTTTCTCTGTGCATAATTCTTCCTGCAGGTATTTTGGCAAGCATGACCCAAAATGCTCAGGATATCAAATGATTAGTAATATGTCCAAAGTAAGGAGAGAGGGAGAAAGGGAGGGTCAACACAAATGTTCAAAAATTGAATTCAACCATATTAAGCGTATATAGCTAATACATTTTTATAGCATATAGCTAATAATTTTATTGGCTATATCCTCCAAGAATTTTCTGTATGGGGACAGTGTTTATAATTTTATGAGGCAAACAGCATGTTTTCATCTATATATTAAAAGAAAATCTAACTGCAATAAGAATGACACCAAATTAATTATATAGCTCATTCGCTTTTCCTTTTAAAATATTTTTCTGCGTTTTCCAAATTCCCTTTCATAATTATCTTTGTCCCTTGTCATCATAAAAAAATAAAATAAAGACTTCACAAGAAGCGATGTGAAAAATGCAAGAGAATAAGGGAGATGCCCCACTCTGGGTAGAGGAGGTGAATGAGGTTTTTGATAGAAGATTTGGGTAAGTCAGATTAAGCATCCCTCTCTTTGGGGAAGGATTCCAGGATAGGGCCACAACTGGAACATATAATGACCTCATGATTAAGAGATCCCAACACATTTAGGAGTGGTGACATCATTCCGAAGCCACTATCCTACTGCCTCACTGTCACGTTAACCATGCAGACAACAGTGAGGACTGTGCCGATGCTAGCAGAGGAGGGAACTGAGATGAGCCACCCAAACCATTCCAACTACAGGGTGGGGCAAAAGTAGGTCTGCAGTTGTGAATACACAAAGACACAGAGTTTATTCCTGTATAATTACTTATTAATTACAGTATTATTTTCATATGAACAACTGGAAACCTACTTTTGCCCCACCCTGTACATGACTCTTAATCCACGTTCAACCTGCAGGTCCAATCCACGGAAATTTATGGAACTGGAGACATAATAGCCCTCCTCTAGTCAAAGCTCGGCCTACCCACACTCCCCAGCTGACCTCAAGTGGTCCCATAGATTTAAATAACAGCTACAGGTTCACAGCTCCTGACTTCTCCACCCACCTCCTGTCCTTTGAGCTCCTCCTAAGAGCGTCCATCCTTGCCCCACCACAGACTGTCCTCCACACAGCACCCAGAGTGATCAATTAGGTCTACTTCATTCGGAATAAATGCTAAGTTATTTATTTGAGCTTATCTCCTCCCACACTCCTCTGAACCCTGGGCTTCTGGCATGCTGGCCTCCCTGACAGTCACAAGGCTCATTCCTTCTCCCATCAGGTCTCTCCTCAATTTTCACCTTAATAAAATTGCCCAATTTGGCCAATAGAAATATAGGATGCCCACTCAAGGTTCAATGACATATAAATAATAAAGAGTTTTTAGTCTAAGTATGTCCCAAGTATGAGCTTACCAACTGAGGCTGCAATATCAAGTGATAAAGCAGAAGTTTCACAGCTGTTAGGGGGTTGGTTAAAGGAAATGTGGACAGCGTAGTGAAAACCAGGATTAGCCCAAAGTAAATTATTGGGTGATGAGACTCTAAAAAGGCAAAAGATAAAGGGTGACCACAATAAGAAGGGCGAGCCTTCCTGGTCAAGAGCAGGTCACACACCCCCAAAAAAGCAGCAGGTCAGGCTAGATCCCCGTAGTGGACAGTAGCGAGACAGTGGACATTAGCAAGATGTTGGTAAGGAGAAGGAACCAGTTCGCTTAGGGTGAAGGAGCAGACAGGCGTGAAGCTGGGCGGGGCAGGGCTGTGGAGCTCCACTGATGAGGGGCTGATCTTCCCGGAGCATCTTTCCTCCCAGTCCCTGACTTCTGGGTACTCACTATTTCTGTCCCCAGGTTCAATTCCTTCCCGCAGGAAGTCACCTCTTTCTCCTGGGCACCAGGAAAAGTCATGTTTTGCGTGCTGTTTTTAACTGGAATTACTCCCTGGCCTGCTTCTCTAGGTCTTTGAGGGCAGAGTTGGTCCTGCCCATCTCTGTGACCTGTAGGATGCCTCATTCATGGTAATTTCTCAATACATGTGTGTCCCTGAGTGCTGGGGAGCTTGCCTTTTCTGGGGTAATAAATATGAAGCCCACAGACTTAGAACCAAGGTGGACTTATCATGTCAAGGGCCCGAGCTACGGGCTTCTGTGAAGCTCTGGCTGGGCTGCGCCTGAGAAACCAAAGCAGTACCCACCAAGGAAGGGGCTCTCACCAGGTGCAGGGCCCAGGTCAGCTGCACGGAGTTCAGGTCTGATAGTGGGAGGGGGCAGGCAGCATAGCCTCAGACTGAGGACTCTGTAGCCCACAACACCTCAGTGGAAATCCTACCCCTACTGCATACAGCCGTGGGCAAGTTACTTACCTCCTCTGTGCCTTCATCTGAAAAGTGTCTTCATCTGAAAAATGACTACCTCCTTGGATCAGAAGATGAATTAAGATAACCCCTGTAAAGCTCTTAGCGGAGTGCTGGGCACATGGTCTCAGCTTAACGGTGGTAGCTCACATTACTATCAGATCAACGGTGTTTATTAAATGCCTTTTACGTGCCAGACATTCTGTTAGTTGCTAAGATACAAATATACTTAAAAGCCGTTACAGTAACTCCAAAATGTTGGGCTCACTGGCCAAAAAGGACTATGAGAACACCATAAGTTAAGGATAAAGTGACATCTAGTTGTGCAATGGGGGCAGTTAGTGAACCCAACTTGAAACGATGTCAGGATATCGAAATGGAGATGTCCCTCAGACGACCAAGGATGTAGGATGTAGGAGAGATCATGCAGCAAATGTAGTCTGAGAGCCACTCGCATAAGGAGTCAGTGAAACAGCAGGAACAGGTGAGCCGTCTGAGTGTGAGAAGGTAAGATCAGAAAACAGGCTTGATGTTACTAAGAAAGGGGAAGACAGAAAAAGATCAGCAAATTTGTAGGTAAAGTTGGCATAGGGAAAACTTATAGACTACAAACCGCAATCAACATGAAGGAGTATACAGGGCCTCTCTATATGCTACAGGACTGCACAGAGGGGCTGGCGGAGACGGAGAGGGCTGTGCAGTCAGATGAGTGCTGGGAAGAGCTGAGGGGGTTAAGGTGGCTGCTCATGGTCACATGGCTCAGTCCCAGTGACAGCTGGCACTCAGGCCCTGAGAACACTACCAAATGCTTCCTAGTAGGCCACCTCCTCCTGAAGCACACTTGGATTACTGAGGGGCTCATTATATGCCACAGTTTACATGCAGCATAAAGGTTTTTGCCTTTTTGGCTGTTTCCTTCCACCTGACCAGGTAAACTTCTGAAATATAGGAAAGATGAAAGTCATAGGAGTCAATTTTGCTGTCTGTTAGTAGTTATTTAATATTTAAACTATCTTTATATCTATCTATCCATCATCTACCTATCCATCCATCCATCCATCTGGGAGATAAGGGGTAATAAGGGAAATGTCCAGAGATTAGCCAAGGTGTAGCAGGAATGAAAGCAAAGTTGAGACTAGAATTAGTACAGAAGCAAGACTCAGTATGGAACTGAAGCAGAAGAGAGGCCAGGTGAGCTCAAGAATAGCCAAGAGAAGGGAAGAGGTGGGAAGGGAGCCACAGGAATAAGGTAGAACAAGGTGGAGCCTGGCATTTGCTTCTTGAAGTGTAGTCCCAGGACCACACAGGACATTTGCTAAGAAAATAGAGTGCTGAGCCCCAATGCAGTTCTACTGAATCAGAATCTTTTAGGGGCAGGTTCCCAGATTGAATTTTGCTGACCTCCTTATGCCTGTATGTTAGAGTTTAAGAATTACTGAGCTAGAGGAAAAAAATCACTGGAAAAAATAAATTACTCTTTTTTTAAAATTGTCATAAAATACACATAAAATTTACCATTTTATGTATAGTTTAATAGTGTTAAGCATATTCACATTGTTGTGCAACCTATCTCCAGCACTCTTTTATCTGACAAAAAATGAAACTTTATACCCATTATGGGGTACTATTAATATGCCCAATATTCTTACTGTTTATTTGTTTAATACCTTTGCTAATGCCCAACTAGCTATCCTAGATTTGGGGCTGATTTGTTATCTGTGGAGTGCAGATATGAATGCAGCAACCAGGTTTGTGGGGCAGGGTATAATCTGGTTCATAAAATATTTTGAATATCACACCTTCTTAGGTTATTATCTAAGTAAAAACTCCAGAAACCATAACAGAAATGATTACAATATCAAATAAGTATGTGTTAGGAAAAAAATATTCATTTTAGTCTACATTTTTCTTCTTTATGACACGTTTGGGTATTTGTGTTTATTTTTTCATCGAAAATTTTCTAAATGCAGACTATCACTTGGCATTCTTGATTGTCATGGGGTCAACACTGACACATAGTCAGAATTTGTATGATGTACTGTTACATCAGTATTCACTGGTACACACACAGCTGCACAACCCTTTTTATGGACAGTGGCAAACGTGCCATTATGTCGATTTGTTGTCATTTAACATTTATTCACAAGCCACACTATGCTAGGCATTGAGATGTTTTTCTATTCAGAATTCAACATCTAGTGCCATACCCACCTGATGAACTGCTCCTGATCTGGGGTCTATGATCAAAAGACCTTCTGGCTTAGGGCTTCCTCATGATTTTTCTTGGTGTGACTAAGTCATTCCCCTTCCATTTCACTTTGAAAGTCAGTTCTCTGTTGTGAGGATTAAGAGTGATTTCACTTTCTGAAATCTTGTACCTCTAGGAAACGTTCATGTGCCCTTGTTGGCCTCCATTAGAAATGTAGTTTTAGAAATTAAAGCCATAGTTTAAACAATAAAGAATTTAAATTAAAAAAAAGAAATTTAATGACTCTTTTTACATCCATGTTGTGTGGTATTCCTTTAATACATAATTTTGCCTTACTTATAAGCAGTGCTAAATAAATGTGCATTTAAATATTAGCTAAGCCTGATTTTGTGGTAATTAAATCCAAACTGGGTGTCATGGTCTACCGAGTATAATCTTTGGTTTTACCAGACAAGTAATGCAGTTATTTATGACTATCTGCACAGTCCTCTAGAGACTTAAAAATTACTATTAAAATTCCAATTGAAAAAGTAAAGTCTCTCTGGTTACAAAAAAGTCATAAACAGTGTCTCTCTAATTTTCATAATAGTCCAGTATAACTCCTTTTTACACATGGAGAAATAGAGGCACAAAGAAAATAAGAAGTTTCACTGAAGCCTCACAACTAGATAAATTAATGTCTTCCCACTTAGAAAAGCACTTCAAAAAGATTTGATCTTTTTGCTAACAACTTCATGTGTAAAAAAGGAAAACAAATATTTCCTCCTTTCTCTCTGAGGGCCATTCAAATCTCCCTAAAGACTCCAGAAAGGCTCTGATTTTATTAAAGACGTGCTATAAAACATGCAAACAATATCGGTAGAAGTGTTGCTATAATATCAGTAGGCTCTGCAGACTGTTAATGAAATTTCCCACCAGGAAAAATACAGAGAGGGGAGAACGGGACTGAACACAAAATTAAAATCTATTCATGCGTGAGCCAAATTTAAACATTTGCAGGAGATCCTATGAAGACTGTCCCATTGGTTGCTGCTTTAAAAACGTGTTTTGCAGTATCAAAGAGATGGTACAAATATGAAATAAATATGTATTATATTAGTCATCTCTTTAAAGGACACCACTGGTTTATATTTTCATATAGTTTGAACTCTTATGATGAGCATTCTTTTTTATTGCTTTTAGATAGAGGGGAGGGAGGGATGGATTTGCTGTTCCATTTATTGATTGGTTGATTCTGTCTGTGAACTGAACCCACAACCTTGGTGTATCAGGACAATGCTCTAACCCAGTGGTCAGCAAACTCATTAGTCAACAGAGCCAAATATCAACAGTACAACGATTGAAATTTCTTTTGAGAGCCAAATTTTTTAAACTTAAACTATATAGGTAGGTACATTGTTATTAACTTAATTAGGGTAGTCCTAAGGCTTAGGAAGAGCCACACACAAGGGGCCAAAGAGCCGCATGTGGCTCGCAAGCCGCAGTTTGCTGACCACTGCTCTAACCAACTGAGCCACCAGGCCAGGGCCAATGAGCTTTGATTATTTTTAATATAAAAGTTCATTTCTACCATTTTAAAGCTTAATAATTAGATTTTCCACCTCATAGATTATGCAGGTAAAATTTTAAATTGCAATAAATTGAAATTAAGTGCTTTCCTCAGTAGCACAATATTTTCCGGAACTCTTTCCCACAGGTACTATTTGTGCATTTTTTTTTATCATAAATGAGGTTTAATATTAGTTTGGGACAAACACAACAGATTCTGAAAGCACTGTACTCTAACCTAGAATTTATTATGGGTTATCTACCATTCTGGAGTTTACATGAATATCTGAGAATTTAATTCTGTTACTTTTGTGATAAACCTTAATATTCCCAAGTGTTCTAAAGGTCTTAGTGCTTTACAAGACACTGAAAACATGACTTGATTACATTTCATTTGATTCCAATTAAAAAGCACTTAAGAAGTTTCTACTGAATTAGATTACACCGAATGTTTCTATAGAAAACACTTCATTATCTGAGGCAGCTTTAATTTAAAATGATCACAGAGAGTGAAAAACACTGTTCATTTTAATAAAATGGGCTTAATCGCATATCATTTCACAATTGCATGCAGTAGATTTTGGTTTATTAAATAAATGTACAAGGGTGCTGGCAAAAACATCTATATAACTGAGTGCTTCATTCAGTTCACACAAAACAAATCTAGTCACATGACTTTTAAGTCTTGACAGAAACCAGAAATACTGCCCCCCCAAAATTTAATTAAAATGAGGAGATAATATCAAGACAAGTGAAAATAATGCCTTTTCGTTGAATTTTTAAGCAGTGAATTTTACAATTAATTAAAAATGAAAACGAACTTCAGAGCAAACATATTAAGCAACCATAGTCAAATAAAAATGCAGGGTGCCACCAAACATAGCATTTCTCCTTTTAACCAAAGGAATACCTTGAAATCAAGTTATTATATATATAAAAATCAGGACAAACTAAAGAATTTTGGCCTTCCCAACAGTGTTAGGCAATTTTCTAAAATGTTATTTTCAAGCCCCAGTCTGAGATCCAAGAATGGAAAATTATGATTAAAAACAAAAAGATGATTAAAAGTAAATGCCTAAAGTCAGTTATTTTGTACTAAGCATAAACTGCTAGCTTTCATTGGACAGAAATCTGTATACACGTTTGGCATGCCCATCTCTGATACTTCAGGAATAAAGGCAACTTTGTGGTTTGTGGTTAGTGATTAAGTACCAAGTGAACTTGTGCGTGTTCTTGTATAGGAAAAACTGCAACATTTTGAACGTTTCCCACTTGTAACAATGTCTTTATTATGCCTTCCAGAATTAATTGACCTAAAATCCAGCGACTCCAAGATATATCTATTGGATAATTAGAACTCTAAGGACCAACAAATAAAACACATTATTGACTTTTAGTTCTTCAATCAAACAAATATTTACAGCTGCAATTTGCGAAAATAATTTCCTTTTAGTTTGGCATCATCTCAAAATCTGTGCTACTGATTTGAAGCATATCAGGATCATCAACACCCTCCTCCAAAATTAAGAGTGAAATATAAAAACAATGCTGCATCATTTAGCACAATCTGCATCTACCCTCCCAGCCTGGGTGGGTCTCCTCTGAAAACAAGTGAAAACTCATTATTTTTAAGCTTCTTTGAAAGTCTGTCTGACCTTGAGACCAAGAACAGCAGGGAGGATGAGGAATAGTGACCTGCTTTAGTGACCAGTAGCTATAGATATCAGAGAATGTGCTTGTTGTCAATGATCGTTGCTGAAATCTGTCTATACCACACGGGAACAATCAATTTTGTAAATGATTGCAATAATCAAGGAAATTGCCTAATTTATAAATCCTTGCATACAGCATCTTAATGGATTCCTCCATTTTAATGCTGATGCCTTCAGAGCTAAATGAATTGTTGTCCAGGCTGTCATTACACGAAATGATAAAAACATTCCGTCTGGTGGGGAAACCACATCTCATGGATATTCAGACTCTCAACCCATAATCACTCATTAGTGACTTCCATGAAAGTTTCACACTGCTGAGCCTTAGGAAGAGCAAAAGAGCCGGCTCGTGTCTGCGTGCTCCTGTAAATCCCTGCTTTCGTTTCAGAATTTGAACAAATTGCCTTTCCCCGAACTGTAATGAACTGGTTGTGTCCCTAGTTCTGACAGCCCCATATTGTCAAAGTTGATCCTTTTTTCCTGGGCTGTTTTTTGTTTTGTTTTTTACCACCGACCTCAGCGTCAGCAGGTTCGGCCACTTTCAACTTCCAAATCCTGAAGCACATCAACACGGAAGATTCCGGATGCACCCAAGCAAATGGGTGCCATTCCACCCTTGCGCTCCTGTTCGCAGGTAAATCTACAGATGGTCCATGGAAACCGAGGCTGCACGCTTAGCTCTCGCCCTAAGCCCGCCACACGTAGATTGCTCTTTTCAGTTAAACCCTGGCCAATTGATTCCAGCCAATAGTGTGCTGTCAGTACTTTACTTACTGCTCAATCTCACTAACCTGACATTTATGGTGCACTGATTGGCCTCTGTCAGTGGTGCTGGTTGTAAATTCACTTTGAAAAGCTTTGTGTTAACAGCCTTCAACCAGGCTCCAAGAAGAGTACGAACAGGCAGCCTGACAATTGCTCGACCTCCTGCCCTTATTACAGTGAGTAAATCAGGGTTTGAGCCATTAGGCTGGAGCCTGGGGCCTACACAAAAAGGATTGACATGACGAAAGGTCAACCTCTGTCACACATGTGTAACAATTTGGATAATGGAATTCTGTAACTTATCTGAGTGAGGTGGCAAATGCTTACAAGGAAAAGTATATTCTGCTCTGGCTTCTCTGGCTTTTATGCTAAGTAGTTATACTAGAGTCTGTATTTCTTGTGTAAATACACAAGGAATGCCTGAACTCATGAAATCTTGGAGTATATACGATTCTTAAAAAGAAAGAAAGAAAAAGACAGAGCAAGGCAGTCTAAAAGCGGTTCTGTGCACGCATTCTTAAAAACGGCAGAACATTTTCCCCACACTATCAACGTATCACATCCACCCTCTGAGAAAAGAGAATGTTGATACTGTGGACATGATTCCTCAGCTAGCTACGAGGCAGTTTTCGTATTCATTTTTTAAAACCCATAGTATTATACTCCAACTATAAGTGATTTCTGGATAACAATAAATTTACTCCAATAATTAAAACTGCCTTAATTGGCACTGAAATATAAAGGCTCCCCTGCAGGCTTCTCAGACCCAGTGTTGCCATAATCACATTTTCACCAGATCGCTTGCTGCCGTGCAGTCACGGGGCGCGGGGGGTACCTCATCTATCCAGGAACGTCTGAGACTCTGATTTGAATTTCTCTACCCCACTTTTAAGTCAGTGTGAAAAAAAATTTTTTTTAATTATATGCTGTAAGAAAATATGCAGTCAAGAAATACTTTTGAATTATTTTCTTTACGTGGATAAATGCTATCAATAAAAGAAGAAATCTGTAAACAATAGATAAACTGAACTGACTAATGAGATACAGAACATATTACTCTTTATAAAGCATTTGCAACTAATGCACTGTAGCGTCACGTGCATATCTGGATGAAACCTCACTAGCATGAGAATTTCCAAATGGCTGTTATAATTTTTTTTTTTTAAGCAGGGTCGTTTTGGGACTTAGAAAACCAAGGTGGCACTGTCCAGGGGGATGCATAAGTTAAAAGGAACTAGACTTTGCATGGATCTTTTCAAAGCCAATTTTAAGTACTAAGTTTTGATTTTTAACACAATGCTGGAAATGATTCCAACAGGCGGCAGATGGTTTTACAGTTTATGTAAAACTACAAAATGCTCACACTCTATCAAATGGGCACCACTGTAAAAGACATCTTCAAATCAAATGAGGCAAAACCAAAGAGATATACCAGCTGTTACCCTGCATAATTTAAAACATAATAGTCACATTACTATGGTTTATTTTTAAGGAGAAATTATTTGGATTTCATAAAACTGACACATTCAAAACTAAGCTGACAAGCAGTCTAGTGTATTAAATGATAAATTACTAAGAAACACAATTTTTACTTCAATATAACTGTGACAGCCATATAATTCTATCCCCTGGTGTTTTGATGAGTCAAGCCAAATTAAGCCAAATCTATAAAGCAAAATATGGAGTATATAATTATAGTACTATCACTGGAACAATTTTAATTTGATTTTAAAATTATTTTAATTTAAAATAATTAATTTTAAATTATTAATTTTCAACATCTAAATCCATTCAAATGGGTACAGTACTATAAATGGAACTGGGTCATTTATAGAAACATAAAATACATTTAAAATATAAAATCAATTCATTTCCTTTTAGTACCAATTACCTATGATGGTTTTGAAATATAAACATGCAGCAATG